TTCCTGCTTCTATCTTTCTTATTTCCTTCATCATCTCTTACCTGGGTGGTTTCAGTAGCTTCCTAATCAGTGTCCTTTCTTTTTTTCTTTCCTAATTATAAATATTTCCCACAGCAGCCATTAAGATAAACAAAACTTTAAAAGCATAACCCACACTCCATTGCTTTTAACTCTCCCAGGTTGAAATAGCACTGTCCTCATAGAACTCATTTGCATCAATCTACCTGTATTTAAATCATTGATAAAATTTTCCTATTGGGGTGGTATGTAATTTTTCAATGCTTCTCCTCACTGCTCATCCATACACAGAAGAGAGGCTTTCGTATAAGACCTTATAACTTTATACAAAATAACATAGCTATCCGTGAGGACTTCCACTTTAAGAGTCTTAGTAGTCATACTCACAGTTCTCGTTAGTTTCAAAAATGGGAATATATGTTTTCCCATAGAAACAGATCAATAGTAAGCTAAGGGGGGGTGATATTTAAACTCCAAGTAGTGATATTTACTTCATGAAAGGATCAGTAAACTCTCTTCAAAAATCTTGACTCTGGAAACAGCATTGAAAATTGGTTCTGCTACATCAGTTCTGTGACATTAAACATTTCAGTTCTTTAGATTTCTTTTTATTTGGGGAAGGGTGTTGACACCTGGCATTACATAAAGCCTTTGTGCTCAGGAGTTTCCCCTGCTGGTGCTCAGAGAGCTATATGTGGTTCCAGGGATTTTAATCAAGGTTGTGGTCATTACAGCCACATGCAGGGCAAGAAGCTTATCTTCTATACTATCTCTCAGTCCTTACATTTCTTATTTATATGATTTAACTAATATTAGTTTAGTACTTGCCCACTTGAGCAAATCAATGAACAACTGGAGGACAGTGCTACAGTGCTACTTTATAGAATCATTATTAGATTATTTGGTAATACATTTGGCAAATGTCCTGGCACAGAGAATGTACTCAAATGATGGTATTTGTTATCATTATAATTATTGTTATCGTTATTATTACCATTTATCAGTATAAATCATCACATTTCAGATCTGAAAATTATTTTTCTTGGTAAAAGAGTCTCATTCCAAGGTCCTCATTTTTACTATTATTCTACTCCTCCCTTTCTCCAGAAGGGAATATATACTTTACAGGTTCCCATGAAGATTAAATAATTCTCTGGGGAGAAAAGGTTTTGCAGCAAAACTACCCTTCACGGGCCAGAGAGTAGTACAGTAGACAGGGTACTCAGTTATCATTCCTGGTGGACTCCGGGGTCCATAATAGGTGCAGTGGATCAAACCTGGGTTGGCTGTGTGCAAGACACACAGCCAAGAACTACCCTACCAAGAACTACCCTACCCAATGCAAGACTCTACCCAAGAACTAACACTTCAGCTCTGAAAAGAAAATTTTGTAATACTTAGAGATTATGAAATATCTCAGGGTCTCACATTTGGTCAAAAGCAGACCTGAATTTTATACCTGATCACTTTACTCCAAAAATTGAATTTCCTTTAACATTTTAGGGGTACATATTTTGTTTTTGTTTGTTTGTTTGAGGCCACATGCGGCTATTCTCAGGGCTTCCTCTTGCCTCCTGCCTCCTACCTCTTAGTTCAGGGATCATGCCTGGCAATGCTTGGGGTACCCTATGGAATACTGGGGATTCAGCTCATGTTAGCCATATGCAAGGCAAGAGCCTCCTACTGTGCTATCACTCTGGCTCCTTTAACATTTTGTAACTGTCACTGTCACTGTCCTCCTGTTGTTCATCGAGTTGCTTGAGCAGGCCCAGTAACGTCTCCATTTTGAGACTTGTTATTACTGTGTTTGGCATATTGAATACATCATGGGTAGCTTGCCAGGCTTTGCCATGTGGGCGAGATACTCTTGGTAGCTTTCCGGGCTCTCCGAGAGGGGAGGAGGAATCGAACCAGGCTCAGCCGCGCTGTGTGTGCACAAGGCAAATGCCCTATCGCTGTGCTATCGCTCCAGCCCACATTTTGTAATAGATCATTTAATCATAAAGAGATGTTGCAAAAAAAGGTGAATTGTACTACTCATATCCCTGAAACTCAATGGTAACATTTGCTACTCCGTGCCGAAACCTTTTAAAAACTTTTTTGAACCATAAATATTTCAGAATAGCTCAGCTAACTAAGCACATGCTTTGCATGCAGGAGGTCCAAGTTCTGTCTCCAGCTTGGTGTCCAGAGAATTGCCAGATTTCCTGTACAGGGCTGATTACCCCAGAGCATCAGCAGGTGGCTGCCTTCAAAATAAATAAATAAAATAAAAGGACAGATCATTAGTACAGCAAGTAGGAAACTTGCCGTTACACAGCCAACCCAGGTTCCATATATGACACCCCATGTGTGTCATCCCTTCCCCCCCCACACACACAAACACACAGCCCAATAGAAGTGATCCTAAGTGCAGAGCTAGGAGTAAGCCCTGAGAATTGCTGGGTGTGGCTAAATAAATTTCATGGTCACGGTCACGGTCCTCCCGTTGTTCATCGATTTGCTCGAGCGTGCCCAGTAATGTCTCCATCATGAGACTTGTTACTGTGTTTGGCATATCGAATATGTCACGGGTAGCTTGCCAGGCTCTGCCCTGCGGGCAAGATACTCTTGGTAGCCGGTAGCTTGCCAGGCTCTCCGAGAGGGGCGGAGGAATCGAACTCAGGTCGGCCATGTTGGCCACTTGTAAGGCAAACGCCCTACCGCTGTGCTATCACTCCAGCCGGCTAAATAAATAAATAAGTAGATAAATATTTTTTGTATGAATCTCTAAAAGATAAGACTTTTTTTAGGGGAGTAGGGAATTGTTTGTTCTTGGAGAGACAGAGGGTACCATATGGCATCTCATATCTGGGGATTGAGCCCATATTGTCCACAATCAGGACAGGCACCCTGCCTGCTCTACCATCTTTTCAAACCCCAAGATGACATTTTTAGCCAAAATCACAATACTAAAATTTAAAAATAGAAGTTTAAAAATAGCAGTTAGGAGCTGGAGAGAGAGTACAGCAGGTAGGGCATTTGCTTGGCACGTGGCCAGCTCAGGTTCAATCCCTGATATCATGTATGATCCCCCGAACACTGCCAGGAATAACTCCTGCATTCAGAATCAAAAGTAACCCCTGAGCATAACTGGGTGTGACCAAAAAGAAAAAAAACTCAGCAATTACTTTGCATCATTATCTGGTCATCTGTTCAAATTCTGTTATTTTTTGATTTAAAGAAAATAAAGAAAAATCCAAATAAGATCCACATATTACAACAGACCAATGTGTCCCAGATCTCATTTAACATACACAACTTGTTATTTTTATAACTCATATTTTAGTTTGACTTATTTTTTAAAAGTATACTGATTAAGATTCTGTGATTTTCAGTATTGTTAATAATGGTTTTTCTTTCACATAATTCCAACACCATGACCATCAATCTCTCCCCCTTCCAAAATTCCCAACAGCAAAGTAACAAAAAAAAACCCAAAACCTCTGTTAACAATTACACTATGATTTATATTTTATACTACTATATAAGAAAGAGAAATTCCTTATTCACAGTTTCAAGTGGCTTCATGAACATTTTTAATTAGTTTTCAAAATATTGCATTCATTTTTAGGAAGAATATTTCAGGTTCTCATTAATTTACCAAAGTTTTAAGCCATAATCAAAACATTGAAAAGCATGTACTATTCTCAAAGGAAACTTTGTACTACAAATACTATAAGGGAAACATGAAGTGGCTACTTGGAGGATGCTTTGTGAGGATGGAGAATGATGTCAAATTCTGCTAAGAATACTAACATAAAATTTGAGAGACCTTAAAAATTATTTTGGTCTATAGTCCACTTTCAGCATGCTTCTCCCATCTGGGAGGATCCTCCCAACACCCTTTATTTGGTGCTCCCTTTTCTATCTGAGCTTCCTTTTCCCCCCGCACGTGTGGCTGGCCTCCAAGTCATGGAGCAAAATTCCTGATACTAATCTCGGCCACTCCTGGGTGTTAGTCTCCAATTTTGTTACTTTATGTTCCCCAGATGAATGATTGCCACTCAATGCCTCTCTTGCAAACCACAGAACCCAAAAGGAGAGAGAGAGAGAACAAAAGGGAATGCCCTGCCACAGAGGCAGGGTGGGATTGGGGGGAGGGGGGTGGGAGGGATGCTGGGACCCGTGGTGGTGGAGGATGGGTACTTGATCATTGTATAACTGAAACCTAAGCACAAAGATTTGTAAGTCTATAACTGTACCTCATAGTGTTTCAATTAAAAAAAATAAATGATAGATAGCATTGCAAATGCAAGGCTAAGTTAAAGGTTAGGCATAGAATGTGCCATGAGAAATTTTAATGTGGCTTTAGAATAATTTACTGTTTTTACCTCTTTTTAGTGGAATCATATCTCAAAAACCTCTGTCTCTTCTTACTCTGCTTTAGATATTTTGCTTTTGGCCTATACTCTAAATGATTATTTAAGGGGATTTCAAGGATACATAACATATATTCAGAATGTTATGTGATCACAAAACGTCAGGATAAAATTAAGTGGAAATTAAAAAAATATTTTGGAAGAGGTAAAATTATTTTTGAAGGGCAAATTACTTGATGTTTTTATTTTTAAAATAATATAATTAGCAGTTTGTGAACAAGTCCCTTTTGAATTACAAATTGCTTTATATAAAGTATCTTGGTATATGAATCATGCTTGCTTTACTGAATCATACTGAAAAATAAAAAAAAAGTATGACATAAAGTCATACTGAAATCTGAACTAAATTCTCTCTTTTGAGGTGATCTGGAACTCCACATGAATTGGAATAGGTATATGCTGACTCTATGAAATATTATTCCTTTGTTTTACAATAATAACATCTTTCAAGATATATATATATATATATATACTTTTTCAATAGTATGGCTTCATGGATAAATATGAAAAGGTAACGAAAAGTTAAGATTAATATTCCCTCTTTTTGCCAACTTTTCCTAGATCAAACTCAACATCACACACCCAATGGTACTATCAGCAGTGGTATAGATCCCTTCAAGTTACCACAGTACCCCAAAATCTCAACTCAGAGAAGTGGAGAACCTGAAGCTGGGAGAAAATCCCCAAGTAGGCCTGTTCCAGATGTCAAGTTGGAGCCCTGTCCTGAGGTGAATGTGGGGAAGTTAGTGTTCAAGCTGCAGGATGGAGGGACCAAGACCCTACCAAAAGCCACTAATGGACCTGTGCCAGGATCTGTGCCCACCAAGGTCCCTTCTTTACACATAAAGAGACCAGCTCCTCGGCTTCTTGCTTACCACAAAGATGGTAAGTAATTGGGGACCCCATTGGAACCAGAAATGGTCCCAACCACTTTACATTTGAGATATCCCTGAGGTTGAAGGTATATACCTATTTCAGTTTACTACCACTTGTATTGGAGTGGTGAGCAAGAACATGACTGAAACTCAATCATGAAGGCTTTGTAACCTGTATCTCATGGTGATTCAATAAAAAAGAAAATAATTATTAAAAAGTTTGTAATAACCATTGGAGTGTAAATTGCATGAGAATGGGGGTTTGGAGCCTGCTTAACATTCCTATATACCAAGTTGTTAGAACAATGACACATAGTTGGCACTCATTATTTATGTAATAAATTAATTGTACTACATAGTAATATTACTGGGCTGGAGTGATAGCACAGCAGTAGGGCGTTCGCCTTGCATGCAGCCAACATGGCCAACACAAGTTCGATTCCTCCACCCCTCTCGGAGAGCCCAGTAAGCTACCGAGAGTATCTCGCCCGCACAGCAGAGCCTGGCAAGCTACCTGTGATGTATTCGATATGCCATACACAGTAACAACAAAGTCTCCAATGGAGACGTTACTAGGCCCACTCGAGCAAATCAATGAACAACGGGAGGACAGTGACAGTGACAGTAATATTACTGCTGCTGGTGTTGCTATCCAGTAAGCACAAGTTATATGCCTGTCATTGTAGAAACTACTGATTGCTATTTCTGATCATAATGGGGAGGGGAGAACAATATGACAATAGTTAAGGGAAATAGTAACTGAAGAAGGACAGGGTGCTAATAGGATGTAAAGTGATATGCATGATACCCAAAATTAACAGTATTGTAAGTGACAGTGACTAAAGAAAAGAAGTAAAAGAATAAATATGCCTACCATAGAAAAGGCTGAAATGAGGACAGGAGGGAAATGGGGACATTATTAGAGAGACGTGGATATTGATAAAGATATTAATGTTGGAATATTGTATACCTAAAATTCAATCATGAATGAATTTGTAAATCACAATGATTCAATTAAAAATAAATTAATTAGTTGATAAACATCTTAAAATATTGTGAATAATTGTTTCTCATGAATATAATTACAAAAACTACACCCATGACCAGTGCACTATATTTTTTTAATAATGAAAACCTGAGGCTTCTATAAATAAGTAAATTTCCAAAAGTTCTAAACAAGTAATGGCAGAACTTGGATCTAGATCTTACTAGTGAAGCTAGACACAAAATCCAGTTTTCCTTCGAGTAAGGCAAAAAATGGCACATTACTACTTTTTGTATAATTTTTAATCAACGAACTGTAATCTACAATGTTGTTGATACCTGAGTTTTAGGATATATATTAACAACAATCCCACCACCAATGTGAAATTCTCTCCACTAATATTCTCATACTCCATCCCCCAGCCCACCCCTCTGCCTGCCATCTGATAATACATTACAAAGTTCGATAATTGCAGCTTAAATCTTATGTTTTTAGTGTTTTTGAATATGTGCTTTCATTATACAGCTATACCACTCTCCCACCTCATCACTATAATTGAAAGTCCGCATTACTTCTCTTTCTCATTTTCAATCACTCTTTATTTTTTTCCTTCTCAGTTCTTCTCCCTAAGCTCTGGGATCAATGATGATTGTGTCATACACCTATTAATACATTACATTTCTTCATCCATTTATACTATATACCAGAGATAAGTAGATCATCCTGTCTTCCTTCTTTTTTTTATTAGTGAAACTCCATGTGGTACAGTTGTTGACCTTGCAGAGTTTTGTGCTTGGGTTTCAGTTATACAATGATTGAGTACCCATCCCTCCACTAGTGCCCATTCCCCACCTCCAATGCTCCCAGCATCCCTCCCACTCCTCACCCCCCCACCCCACCCCACCCCTGTGGCAGGGCATTCCCTTTTGTTTTCTCTCTTTTTGGGTGCTGTGGTTTGCAAAAGAGGCAATGAGTGGCAATCGTGTTCGGTCTATAGTCTATTTTCAACATTCATCTCTCATCCTAGGAGGGTCCTCCCAACACCATTTACTTTGTGCTCCCCTCTTCATCTGAGCTGCCTTCTCCCTCAGCATGTGCAGCTAACCTCCAAATCATGGAGTGAACCCCCTGGTACTTATCTCGGCCATTCTTGGGTGTTAGTCTGTCTTCCTTCTTTTGACTTACTTCACTCAACGTGATAACTTCTAGTTCCAACCAGGTTGCAACAAACTGCACTTCATCATTTCTTTCAGCTGCATAGTATTAAATTATGTACATATACCACATCTTGAGAATCCATTTAGATGTCATTGTACACCTAGATTGATTCCATATCTTAGCTACTGTACTAAGTGCAACAAAAATAATGATGGTGCATGTCCTTTTTTAAAATTTTTATTTATTTTTATTGAATCACCATGAGATACAGTTACAAAGCTTTCATGTTTTAATTTCAGTCATGCAATGATTGAACAACCATCCCTCCACCAGTGCACATTCTCCACCACCAATGTCCCAAGTATACAGCCCACTTTCCAGCCCTCCCCCTGCCTCTATGGCAGACAATTTCCCCCATATTCTCTCTACTTTTGAGCATTATGGTTTGCAATATAGATACTGAGAACCTATCATGTTTGGTCCTTAATCTAATTTCAGCACACATCTCCCATCCCGAACTATCCCTCCAACCATTATTGACTTAGTGATTCCTTCTCTATTCCAGCTGCCTTCTGCCCCAGCTCATGAGGCAGTCTTCAAACCATGGAGCAATATTCCTGGTCCTTGTCTCTACTGTCCTTGACTGTCAGTATACTATTATGTTATTTTATATTCCACAAATGAGTACAGTCATTCTATGTCTGTCCCTCTCTTTCTTACTCACTTCACTTCACTGAGGATGATACTCTCCATGACCATCCACTTATAACCAGATTTCATGACTTCATCTTTTCTAACAACTGCAAAGTATTCCAATGTGTAGATGTGCCAAAACTTCTTTAAGCAGTCATCTGTTCTGGCACACGGTTGTTTCAAGATTCTGGCTATTGTGAACAGTGCTGCAATGAGCATAAAGATGCAGATGTCATTTCCACTGTGTCCTTTTGCACCTTCGGCATATATTCCCAGAAGTGGTATTGCTGGGTCATATGGAAGCTTAATTTCTAGTTTTTGAAGGAATGTCCATATTGTTTTCCAAAAAGACTGGACCAGTTGGCATTCCCACTAACAGTGAAAGAGCGTCCCTTTCTCCCCACATACATGCCAACACTGGTTACTTTTGTTCCTTTGAATGTGTGCCAGTCTCTCTGGTGCGAGATGATGTCATTGTTTTGATTTGCATCTCACTGATGATTAGCGATGTAGAGCATTTTTTTCAGGCACATGCCCTTTTTTTCTTTTTAGGTCACACCCGGTGATGCTCAGGAGTTACTCCTGGCTGTGCCATCAGGGATTACTCCTGGAGGTGCTCGGGGGGCCATATGGGATGCTGGGACTGAAACCCGGGTTGGCCATGTGCAATGCAAACGCCATACCCGCTGTGCTATTGCTCCAGCCCCACCCTTTTGAATGAAAGTTTTTAAGCCCTGGAGGTAGATGACCAAAAGTGAAATTACCAGGTCAAATGGCAGCTCAATTCTAACTTTGTTGAGGACTCTCCTTACTAGTTTCCACAGGAATTGAAACAGACAACATTTCTACCAGGAGTGGATCAGAGTGCCTTATTCACCATATCCTTGACAGCACAGATATTTCCTAATTTTTGATATGTGCCATTCACACTGGTGTGAGATGATACCTCATTGTCACCTTGATTTAGATTCCCTTAATGATAAGTGATGCTGGGCACTTTTTCATGTTCTTATTGGCCATCTGAGAATTATCTGTTCATTTCCTTCACCCAAATTTGGATAGGATTTAAATTTTTTGTTGTTGATCTTTGTGAGTACTTTACATATCTTGCATAATAACACTTTATTTAATGTGGTGAATGCAAATAGATCCCCCATTCCTTTAGCTGTCTTTTAGTTTTAGCCCATGTTTCTTTTGCCATGCAGAAACTCATTAATTTAATGTAGTTTCACTTGTTTATTTTTGTTGTTGTTGCCTTTCTTAGTGGTACCAGATCATTAGTAATGTCTCCCTTATGAGACTTGTTACTGTTTTTGGCATATAGAATACACCATGGGGAGCTTGCCAGGCTCTGCTGTGCAGATGGGATACTCTCGGTAGCTTGCTGAGCTATCCAAGAGGGGTGGAGGAATCAAACCCGGGTCAGCCACGTGCAAGGCAAATGCCCTACCTACTGTGCTATCAATCAAGAAACAAGCATAATTGTTCAAATACATAAATAAATGTGTTTGTCTTTCAGTAGAAGAATTAAAAAAAACTGCTTTGAGGTTCAAATCTTGGAAGATTCTGCCTATATTTTCCTCTATGTACTTAATAGTTTCCATTCAGATCTCAAGGTCATTAGTCCATTAGTTAATATTTTATGTAACATTAATGAACTTTTATGTAAGGTGTGAGATATGTATTCTGCTTTAATTTTTTACAGGTAATTATCCAGTTGTTCCAGCATTTGTTTAAAAGCCTGGCTTTACTCCATTTCATGTTCTTGGCTCACTTATCGAGTATTAACTGTTCATATATATGGGGTTGTGTCATTAAGTATTCAATTATGTTCATTAGTCAGAGGGCCTGTCTTTATTCCAGTACTATGCAGTTTTTATCACTATAGCTTTCTAATACCAAATAAGGTAATAAGATACTTCCCAATTTCTTATTTTTCAATATGTCTTTGGCTATTTGTGGTCTTCTCTGGTTATATACAAACTTTATTATTAACTGTTCTAGGTCCTTGAAGAATGTCGTGTTAATTTGAATGGGAATTTTATTGATTCTATATGATAGCTTGGGTAGGATAGTCATTTTTACAGTATTGGAATATTTTTCCTTTTCCTAAGGTCTTCTTTATTATCTCTTTCTAATGTTATTTATAGTTATCATCATATAGATCTCCCACA